ATTATTATTATTATTATTATTATTATTATTATTATTATTATTATTATTATCTTCCTCTTTTTTCCTCCTCCTCCACCTTCTTTTTACAAGTACACTGGGTGCTTTTGTACCAGAGACAAATTCCTTGTGTGTCTAACCATACTTGGCCAAATATTCTATTCCTATTCCTATTCCAATTCTATTCTGTTCTCTTCTCTATTTTCTTTTCTATCGTATTCTGAATTCTATATTCTATTTCTATTCTCTATTCTATTCTATTTCTATCGTCTATTTTATTCTATTTCTATTCTATTCTACTCTCTATCCTATTCTATTCATTATTTTACATTCTATTCTATTTTTCACATTACATTCTATATTCTATATTCTATATTCTGTATTCTATTTTATTCTATTCTATTCTATATTCTATTCTGCTCTGTTCTATTTTATATTCTATTTTATATTCTATTCTCTGTTCTATTCATTGTTTTCCAAACACACACATTTTTGTTTGCAATTTAGCCTTTAAAAAAAAAAAAGAACACATCACACATGACTGTATCTATTTCATAAGTGTGAAAACAGTCATAAGTCACTTTTTTCAGTGCCAATGTAACTTCAGGATGGTCACCAAACTCACCGTTATAAGTTGAGGACTGCCTGTAATGTTTCCAATGCTTGAGCTTCTGTGGCTGGAGTTGGGACCTCCTCCTATCCCATTTCCCCTTGGGTGACCCTTTCTTCTTTTCGTCCCGCTCAGGGAGAAGAAGCCGAGGGACGCAGCTACTCAACCTTATCAACCGTCCGGGAAATCGAGACCCAGACCGAGCTTCCCCCGCCACCCCCAACCCCTGTCCCAGAAGATCAGACGGAGGAGAAGGAGAAAGAGAAGGAGAAGGAGAAAGAGAAAGAAGAAGAGGAAGAGCGGAACGACGAAAACAATATCAAGCAAGCAATGACTCACTTTGTCCAAGAGAACGGCACTCTCCGAGCGAAGCCCACCTCCAACGGCATCTACATTAATGGGCGGGGACACTTGGTCTGACACTCGTGCCCCCTTCCCTGCCGGATTCCCAGATCCGAGCCACTCTGAGCCCTCATCCTAACTGCTTACTGGTGCCTCTTTTGGGGGGGGGGGGGCAAAGATCTCATGGGACTCAGGCCCTCTCCTGAGCCACTGGTCCACCCCAGCCGCAGGCTCTCCACCTTGAGATCTCCTGAAGGCCCCTTCCTTCTTCCCAAGACTTTGGCCAACGTAGAAGCCAACTTCTCCTCTAACACGGAAGACATCCTGAAGATGCTCGGAAGCCACTTCAGGAACTGGGAGCCTCGGGTTTCCCCTGTCCCCCACCCCCCCAACTGTTCTGGGCTGCCTCTTTGTATGAACTCATTTTGGAGTCTTTTGTGGCCAGGGATGACTCAGGTAATGGGGGGAGAAGGACAAGCAAGATGTCCCTTCAGGGCTCTTCAGGTGACTCAGCTGGGCTCAGGGGCAAAATCATAGAAACTCCTGTGTCTTTTCTAGCAATTATTATACTTAACTGTTGTTGCCGTTGTTAAGATGGCCCTTGGTCCATCTTTGGACAAAGGTTCCCACAGGCCACCAGCTGTTAAAAAGATGAGCTCAATTTTAATTATTATTTTTATTTGTGTATTATTAATATGAACCGGGCAAGGAACATTTTCCACTGTTAAGTTTCAAGGACTTCCCAGGAAATGCTGAAGAAAGTACCTGGAGGCACCCACAGAAGTCCTAGTTCTGCTGGGTCAACGATCTTGAATAACATGCTTCTGCTCGGCCTGCACCATGGGACCAGTGGTTCTACAACTCCCAAAGCCATTTAGAGCAGAGGTCTCAAAACTTGGCGACTTTAAGACTTCTGGACTTCAACTCCCAGAATTCTCCAGCCAGCTATGCTCATCATCTATTAAAAGCTTTGCTGGCTGGAGATTTCTGGGAGTTGAAGTCCAGAAGTCTTAAAGTCGCCAAGTTTGGGGACCCCTGCGGTGTGGTCATACCCTTGGAGACCAAGAAGGCTGGGCCACCCCATCTCCAGTGATCTTCCAAGTCCCTCCCCCATCTCTTTAATTTGTATTCCTTAGCATGCTGCAACTATGAATATTTTTAAAGCTAACCAACAACTATGGAAATACGTATGCATGATAAGTGTGTGACCCTGAGGACAGGTTTTGTGAGGGAGTCTGCATTTTGAACAGTGGTTTTTCTCAGCCTCAGCAACCTGAAGAAGGGTGGACTTCAACACCCAGGATTCCCCAGCCAGTATGAGAGTTGAAGTGCACACATCTTAAAGCGTGCTGGCTGGAGGGTTCCGGAGTCCACATTTGATATTGAATTTGAAGTCTACCTTAGCGCATTTAAGACTTGTGGAGTTTGGCGCTCAAAATCCCCAAGCCAGCATGCTTTAAGATGAGTGGACTCCCAGAATTCCCCAGCCAGCATAATTTAACTGGCTTGGGAATTCTGGGAGTTGAAGTCTACCCATTTTAAGCTAAGGTTGAGAAACACTGATTTTGAGTTTTAGGGGAATTGCAAAACTGCTCCAAGTTCTCTTTGGATAGGCTTACGAAGTAAGTTTCTTAAACATCAACCCTTCTCTGATAAGTATATTTTAAGTCTTCTTGTGCATACTATGCCTCATTTTTTTCATGCTTGCAAAGAGTTGCGACTGGGCTGAGAAACTACCTCCTTTAGAAAACTTGTTGACCCAAAGTGGAGGTGAAAGTAACCCACAATATATGGGGTGGAGGAGTGACAAATTTGGTGCACCACTACAGCTCTGAAGGCAGGATCAGAACTCCTATCGGGGTTTACAGGGAAATGCCTCAAAATTTCATCCATTTTGGACCTTCTGGGTCCCAGTGGACCTTCTGCCTGGACCCTGGTTTGGTCAGTTGCATAGGACATGAGATGAGGTGAAGACCAGTGGTGAAATGCTACCGGTTCAGACCAGTTCAACCGAACAGGTAGCAAAAAAAGCTCCACCAATCAGCTGAGAGGTTTTTCTGTTCTTTATCCTCTCAGCTGATTGGTGCAGCAGAGCCTCAGCCGGTGCTTGGAAAGCTGCATGCGCCCATGGGTGAAGTGCGCGATCACCGAGCTGGTAGGGAAACTGGTAGAATCCCACCATTAGTGAAGACTCACGGAACTACATCTCAGATTGGCTCATTCAGACGTGCATTTCCTGGAACTGCCACAACTGAGCTAACAAACACAGACACACCAACTCCTTCGAACCTGCTGCAAACTTAGCTTTGTTTTTAGCCTCTGTGTCCTTGACTTACGACCAAAATTGAGCCCAATGTTTAGGTTGCGAACCGAGAAATCCACTAAGTGAGTTTTGCCCCCATTTTAGGACCTTTCTCGCCCTGGTTGTTAAGTGAATCACTGCAGTTGTTAAGCTAGGAACATGGTCATTAAGTGAATCTGGCTTCCTCACTGGCTTTGCTTGTCAGGTGGTCACAAAAGGGGATCAACGTGACCCCCCCGGGACACTGGCCATCATAACTATGAGTCAGTGGCCAAGCATCCCAATTGTGATCATGTGGATGCTGCAACAGTTGTAAGTATGAAAAATGGTCCTAAGTCACGTTTTTCAGTGACGGTGTAACAGTCACTAAACAAAATGTTTTAAGTCAAGGACTCCCTATACTATGTTAATGAACCAATAAGCTACAGAAGTGAACTAAATGGGCTGGATTTACGCAACGTGCCAAACAGAATTAAGGTAACCACAAGTTTACATGTTGTGCACACACTGGTTTTTAACTGACCCCTTTCGAGCATGTTGGACAAATCCAGAAAGCGAGCATGGAGTTTGAAAGAAAACTCTCCAAGGGTCAATTTGCTAAGAAATCTTTTGTTTTTCCTTGAAACACGATAGAGAATTTTGTGGGGTCCAAAACATCTATTTTAATTTCCCCCTCGCCTCCTTTCCTCTGAATCTCACAACTATCACAACGGGACTTTTTGGAAATGAACTTGACAGTTTCCTTTTAAATATTTTAGAAGCCTTTTAAATATGTATTAATACTGTTATTAGCCTTTTTTTAGTTTGAGGAAATGAGCAACTGTCTTTCTACGATCTGTAAATGTCTTTGTATATAGAGAAAAAAAAGCAACGCATGTCTGTCTCACTCTGTGTATGTGTGTGTGAGTGTGTGTGTGTGTTTTTGTGTGTGTGTGTGTGTAAAATACTCTGTGTATAGAACGGGACTTGGGATATGCCTTGTCAGGTGTAAGATGCACTGCTGGTTTTGTAAATAAATTGCAATTTTGCCATCCCAGAATTCTGCTTTTTGCTAAATATGCAAATCTTGAGTTTCTCTCTACTTCTATTCTAAGTGACTATAAGGGCTAAGTATCAAAAAATAGCCCTGTAATATATTTTGGAGAAAAAGGAAGGTTCAAAAGGATTTCCAATTTTGATTTATTTGGCGATCCCTCAATTCTTTCACAAGTCCAGAAAATGTAAGTGTGCAAATGTACACATTTCTCTCAGGTGTAGGTGTCAACTCCAGGAACTCTGGGAGTTGAAATCCACACATGCTGAAGTCATCACGGTTGAGAAACATTTGTGTAACAGCAGGGATCTCAAAACCTTGGAAACTTTTTAAGACTTGTAGACTTCCAGAATGACCTTTTCTGGAAAAGAAAAGAAATTCTGGGAGTTGAAGTCCACAAGTCTTAAAGTTGCCAAGATTGAACACTCCTGGTTCTCACAAGTTGGTAAATCACACACACACACACACACACGTACCAAGCAGGGCAATTCTGCCCTTGGTTGGAGGTCTCTTGCAAGATCACAAGACTATTGTTCAGAGATGCTCCAAGGCAAGATGTATAATTTCCTCTGCCACCCACAAAGACCATAGAAAAACATCACCCCATCCCTGCTTCACCCAACAGGTCGAGAAACATCAGGGTTACCATCATGCTTTAGAGCTTAAGTCACCTAATATTGAATAAAAACCCATTTGTGAAGGTATCGGATAGAATAACAGTTGAAAGGGACCTCAAGAGATCTTCAAACCCAACCCCTTGCTCAAGTAGTAAGTGGTTGTCTGATCTTTCTCTGGAAATCCTCCAGTGATGGACACATTCATTACTTCTGGAGGCAAGCCATTCCACTGGTTAATTGTTCCCATTTTCAGAAGTAACAGAAGTTGGAAGGACCTTGGAGGTCTTCTAGTCCAGCCCCTTGCTCAAGTAGGAGATCCTATACCCGTGATGGCGAACCTATGGCACACGTGCTACGCAAGCTCCAGGCAAACTTACCTCACTGTGCATGCACGTACCTCCTGGCTGATTTTTGGCCCATTTAAGGCCTTTTTCGGCCTGCCAGAGGCTTGAGGAAAGCCTCTGCAGCCTTTGGAGGCCGAAAAACGGGCCCGTTTCGTCATTTCCAGTATTTCCGGAAATATAGGAAGTGACAAAAAGGGGCCTATTTTTTTGGCCTGCAAAGGCTGCAGAGGCTTCCCTCAAGCCTCTGGGAGGCTGAAAAGGGCACCTCAAACAGGCTGAAAATCAGCTGGGAGGCGCAATGCAGGTAAGCGGGCTGGGGAGGGAATCGTGCATGCATGCGCAGGGGCATGGCGGGTGCGGTCATTGCCTTCTGGGTGCTGGCATGCAATTTTTGGCACAGGAGCCCAAAAAGGTTAGCCATCACTGCCCTATACCATCCCAATCAAATGGCCATCCAGCCTCTTCTTGAAAACCTCCAGTGATGGACACATTCACCCTAACCCTAACCCTAACCCTAACCCTAACCCTAACCTCTCCTTAGTTCTAGACTGGATCTCTCTTGAATAACCTTCCACCTGTTACTTCTTGTCCTGTCCTCAGGTGGATTGACACTCTGTTTTTCTGGCCCTCTCCCCATAACCTCACCAGTCACAGGTGCACTTCCTGCCATCCACAAGCAAAACTGAGTTGGACAATCAAAAAGGCAAGATTGCAAAGCCATTCACTTTCATCCTTCACCCTCCAAACATTGGCTTGTGACAAGGCAAAGAAGCCGTTTGCTGAAAGCTGTTAGCTTGTGCTTTGTGGTTTCGGAGATGCTGTGTAGGGGAAGTTGAGCTTGGGAGACAAGCTGAACTCACTTCCTGTCAGATCTGAGTAAGAACAGAACAATTTTTAATGAAAAAAAGGGGGGCGGCACAGATTTTCTACCTTGCTCTCGACTACCGCTGTATGCTTTCCGGCAACCTCCCAGTTGGCCAAGAACCACACTTCTGGTGGCCCCGTGGTGGCTGAAGGACCTTGGATGGACCAAGCATTGACCACGGAGATGAGAATGAATTTAAGGAAGCAGAAGACCGCCATGGGCCAGTAAATGAGTTCCGGAGAGGCAGGAATTCAACAATTGACAGTTTCTTCTGAACACCGATGGACTCGGCCCAGCCTTGGAAGGAGAAGTTGATACGTAAGGTGTAAGTTTTGAGGAAGAGGAGGAGAGGAGCTCCTTCGCACCCATGTCGCTGGCCATGAAAGCTCTGCAGAAGGTCAAACGGAAAGGACCGGCAAAGGATCGAGTCTTTGGGTGTGATCTGGTGGAACATCTGCAATCATCTGGCCATGACAGTAAGTCGTTTTCTTTTTGGAGACTGGCAACTTTTGCAATCCCCTTGAAGGGCCATTAAGCCCAAACAGGAAATGGGGTGAGGTGAGAACTTCTGCTAAACAACAAACTTTTTTTCCAAATGTGCTTCACTGGTTTTCAGAGAAGACTCCAACCTTAGGTCGTAGTCATAAAATCACAGAGCAGGAAGAGAACTTGGAGGCCTCTAACTCTGGCTACTTTAAGACTTGTGGACTTCAACTCCCAGAATTCCCCAGCCAGTATGGTGGCTGGGGAATTCTGGAAGTTGAACTCCACAAAGACCTAAAATTGCCAACATTGGAGAACCCTGCTCTACTCCACCCTATGCATAAATCTAGGGCCCTTACCAGAGTCTTCTCCAAGCTCCAGATGCATTACCAGGTATTCAAGCGTATTCCAAGATTTAACAATCACATCTTGTTAAAGGACAAATAAAAATTAAAACCATATTGATCAAAGCAGTTGACAGCATTATAAAAGCAACATTAAAAGCCATGTTTGTGTCTGTGAGAAAGCCAAGCAATGAAGCTGGTTAAACCTGGGGTCCAAACTTTTGAAGGGCTGAGAAGAAGTGTGATAAGAACCATATATGGCATCTTGCAACCAGTTCATGATACAAAAAAGATGGTAGACTGTAGAAATTTTCCTGAGAGTGAAAACAATGAACCAGTGGAACAACTTGCCTCCAGAAATTGTGGGTGCTCCATCACTGGAGGTTTTTAAGAAGAGATTGTCCAGGGTGTCCTGCTTGGGCAGGGGGTTGGACTAGAAGACCTCTAAGATTCCTTCCAACTCTATTGTTCTTTGTGTCTAATTCTAAGATTGAAATTCCTCTATGGTCGAGTCAATCCTTATCTGCTGAGCTTTACAAAAACAGGAGATATTCAACACATTTTCTGTGAATCATCCTGGATATTTATTTGAAAAGGGCCTTTTGATTAATTGGTGGCAAGAGATACCCCGAAAAATAGTTTTTAAAGGAGTGCCTCAAAATGGAATCATGGTGTGAGGACAGTGGGAGTGCAGTGTATGGCAGCCAAAAATCAGGATTTCTTGTAGCACCTTCTCCGATTAGTAAATTTTACAAATCCACATAGGCTTTGGTGAGCTGCATCTGATTACGTGAATTGTAGCTCATAGAAGTTTATGACTTTTAATTAAAGTTGCTAACTAGGCAAGGCACTACTGGACTTATTCTGATCCAAAACAGATTGAAATTACAACCTATATGAGTCAACTCAGTTTTACAGCTCAGAAATTGTTCGTTTCACTCAAATCTTCGGCATTCACTTTAAATGTTTGCTGTTTCTGAAATGGATATTAGTCACACGCTATATTTACCGGATGTTATTCCTTGTCTGCCATCCAGGATTTGTCACATTGAATCTCAGATATGGATTAAGGCTGAGATTGCTTTGTCATTTTGCAGTTACCTCAACCACCATATTGGACATATGTTTGGTTTCTCTTTCTTGCCCTTCCTTGTTTGAACTACGTTCACACACGATTTAGCCTGGGCAGAAAATTCTAAAAAAAAAACCTTCTTAAACTTTTACATTCAAGTCTAAAATGAAAACTGCATATGGAATAATTGTGTGGAAATTGTAATAATGAGAAGAAATATGCTACATATTGTCAGTCCCAATTCGTGTCTCCCAATGCCCCATAGAGTTTACTCATACCTATGGTTGAAATTTAGAATAGAATAGAATAGAATAGAATAGAATAGAATAGAATAGAATAGAATAGAA